TACCCCAAGCCTTTCAACTGTAAAAAGCTACTAATTTGGTTAAAAGATTTTGGTGGAGTAATCAGCACTCCTTGGGCCTCTTGAGTTGGTGGAATGTTTTATTTTAAGATTGAAAAGGGAGCATGTTCCTTGGGAAGGGAGAGTGATGCTCACTGAGGAAGCTCCATGGTATGCAACCAAGGGCGGCGCTTCAGTCCCCGCAACACTTGGCCCCAGCTGCACCCAGTGGGGTCGCTTTTGCTTGAGCCATCAAGCCTTGTACAGCCTTATTATAGGTACCTAGATATTGTATGCTTTTTTTGGTAAATGCTTAAATATTAACTTTTGGTCGTACCCTCTCTATGTCTTAAGAGGGGTTTCAGGTTTTTTGTTTCTATATTCTTAATCATGTTTTCCACTCCCACTTGGGCATTTTGGATATTGGTCAGCTTGTGGGTTTTCTAGGACTTCGGGAAACCTAGATGACTGTATTGGGTGCAATACTAGCTAACTAAAAGCTAGAAAGCTACACTGTCACTTTACTGAGATTTCTGAGTATACTTTTCATATTGCCTTAATGTAGCAGTAATGTGTTTATGCATTTGTTTCTTTGCACAGACATTTTGTCAGATATTAAAACTCTACTTTTTTATGGCACATATTAGCATATAAGCCTTTATTCCAAAAGGTATTTATTTTTTCACTTGTAAAAAATAATGTTTCCACATAAAGAACTCTGTTATATCCTAAGAGGACTTCTGTCTTTTATATTCAGGAGAATAAAGACTTTAAAGCAAATGCAGGTGTTCTTATCATCACACTTATTGTCATTTAAGCCCGTTTAATTTATATAAAAGAAAAAAAGCATTGATAATAGCATAGTTGGTGTTTAATTTGATCCTACATGGGAAATTTAAAAGTATTTAAGGTATTGGCCCTAATTGAGGAGAATAGCCATCCAGTTATTCACTCTTCTATATTTTTCTGGTTATAGGATTGGAGTGTAAGTGAAAACAAGGTAATATATATAAAAAGATGAAAAATAAAATTAGGGAAATGACTGGGAAGTATTGGAGAAGGAAGGAAGTGATGAAGTTGGAAGTTTAACAATTTAAACCCAGGTGATTCTGCTAGTTAGTTGCCTGGTCAGGAAAGGTAAGTGCTTGTCCAGGTCCTAGCAGTAGTGGTCTCAGGCTACTACAGAATCTGTTCTATATAGGCTGTGGGACTATGTTCTGTAGGACGACTAGCTTGCTGCTGCTAGGACCTAACTGCTCTAAGCATGCCAGTGTGTGCTCATTTGTATTGTTCAGGAAATGCTTTGTGGAGTAGAGAACATTATGTATAATATAGGTAACTGATAATTATCTGTCGCAGTTGAAGGAAGCAAATTTCAATTGCTACAGAAGTTTAGGTTAGTACAATTATTTCAAGAAAATAATTTAAAAAAATTGAAAGACAGGGATTTATTCTCTACTTTTCCTATACCTAAGTCAATCCTCCCTCATTTGGAATTAATTCATTTGTTTCTAGGAATTAATTCATAATGTTTATTCAATGCATGTATTGAGCACCTACTGTTATTATTGAGTGCTAGATATTGAACAATCGTCAAGACATGAATGATATGAATAGTACATGATGCCGGTATCATGTGCTCAGCCTGTGACATACACTGTTTTCTCTATATGGAGAAATTAAATAATATTCAAAATCATAGAACAGTAGCACTGGGGAGATCCAGAGTAGTGTGTAAGTTTCAAAATGCTAGCCAGGTTGATGGCTAGCCAACAAATGGGTAAGATAACACATTGCGCACTGCACTAGACCACGGACACCTTAAGCTCAGTGGCTAACATGAAAACAATCACATTACAAAGCAGTGTAATAGAACAATAAGGAAGTGCCATGGAGGCACAGAAGACAGTGATTAGTTCTGCTTATAGGGTGCTTCACAAAGGAGCTCTGATCTGAGCTGAGCCCTGACACTGCAGTTGGATTTTATCAGGTGGAAAAAGAAAGTGTATGGTACAGGCAGCATTAGAATGCAGTTTCTGCTGTCAATGAAGTGGTAAGATATTAGACTGAAGAACATGGTTAGAGTTAGAGTCATGGAGGGCTTTGAATTTCAGGTTTAATTTGGACTTGGTCCTCCGCTGTCTGCAGAACAAGGAACTGGGACGGGAGAGTAGCAATCAGATCTGGTTGTTGCTCAAAGAATTCTTACCACAGAGGAAATGATATACAAAAGCAGGAAGAGAACAGAGAGCACTCAATCTTGGTCACTGATGGACATGAAAAGAATGAGACAGATGAAAAGACTTCGGAGGTGCCATCAGTATTTACTGAGATAAACGAGTTATATAAAAAGTCTCTTTCTAGCTTGGAATAGATAGTCTTTGATAGAAGGATGAACAGAGAGGAGCAAGCTGTGGGAGTAAGAAGGAAATTGAATTTGGTTTTGGCCATGATGCGTTTGAATGCTTGGTAACCGGCAAACCTGGAGACAGTTGAAAACATGGGATGGAACCTCCAGAGGATGATAAATGTAAAGAGAAGCATTTGGTGGCTTTTACATTTAATTGATATTTGAAGACATGACAGAATAAGTCATCTGTAGGAGAGCATTAAAGTGGGAGAATAAAAGCTGATGCTGGAAACCTGAAGTGACCTACATGTAAAGTGGACAGTAAAATGATCAAGGAGTCTGAAAAGGAATAAAGGATAAGAAAAACCAAGAGACTGGAAGCTACCCCAGGAGACAGCTTCCAATGGGCAGGTCAGCTGTGCCAAAGACTGCAGCAGAGCCAAAGAGCTGGAGTACCGAGGAAGGGCCACAGATGTGGCAATATTAGGGTGTCCTAGGTTCTAAGAAAGAGTGGGTACATTATGAGAAGTGAGGGGATTGCAGTGAACTGAGTACAAAAGTGAGACAAGGTTGTGGAAGTGATGAATGGGGGGCAGCATGGGTTTGGTGAGGAGGTGGAATAAATCAAGACTGTACTATAGGAGGAGGCAGGGTCAAGAGAAGTGTTTTGGTTTCGTATTTTGAGGGTGTGGGTGGGTGTAGAGGAGAAGGCCATGGAGAGGGTGAGTCAGAAAGTACAGCAGAGAGGAATAAGGGGAGAATCTGAACCTTTGGAACTCTGGAGAGACTGAAGCCTCAAGAGGCTATCCTGCCAAAAGGCACAATTTATGGTGCTAAAGGCATTCTTTCATCTTTTTATTAAGGGCTGTAAAAATCAGTGCTGACGCTAGGAATGTTTTCCCCCACCCTACCCCATCCCAGCAGGTCTATTCTGTATTTACTCTGTCACAAATGGGAGCTCAGATGCAATGCTGCCAAAGTCCAGGGTCATCCCTTCCCTCTCCCGTTAAACACTGTGGATCAGAAGCCCCACGGGTGACCACTCTTGTGTAAAACATGAACTTTTCCAAGAAAAACATGAGAGAAATACCCTGAGAACAGAAGTGGGCAAATTTCCAAAGACAGGCATGGGGGGAAATGCGTGCACAGGTCGCTGCAAGTCTGCCTGAGGAAGGAGGGCTGCAAAGGCTGCTGGGTGCGGAGAGAGCACAGCGTCAACCATGCAGGCCTAAGTTTTCAATATAGTTTCACCAAGCAATGAAAAAAGAGGCCTAGATGGAGTTGGAGCACAGTCAGAAGTTAAGACAAACTGCAGCCATTTTAGTCTTTCTCATTGTGTACCACATTTAGCGCCTTCTCACAGAAATCCTAAAACATTGCAAATTCTATTCATATTTGCAGAATCTTATTGAAATGAGTTTGTTCAGAACAAGATATTAAGGAGTTAGCCCTACACCTTTTAAAAACAAAACTATGTCAGGACCACACAAATTACACAGATTTAACATACCTGCTAGTTGCTTAAAGAAAATATTCACTTCAAGCAAAAAGCTTGACATCTGTTATTCATAGAGCTTGTGCTGGTGCTAAGAGGAAGAAAGAACTCAAAGGCGTGAGTAAGCTTTCCATCAAGGAGCGATTCTTCTAGTTGAGAAGTTTGAAACAAAAATATAACTAGTTCTGAGACCAAAAAGAATATACGCATATGTGTATACGAATGTGAATACAGACGTGTATTACATATACATTACAGATGATACATATATAATATGTATGTATATATGTATCCTTATAATTTTCTGTCATAGACCCTGTTCATAAGTATTTAGAGAATGTGAGGTAAGGAGATCACTGGATTACGTGAATTCGGGCAGGCTTCTGGAAGTAGACAAGTTGTTCTCCGTCTTGAAGTAAGTACAGAGTTTGGACTGGCGAGAAGAAAACAAAGTGTGGTCATGTGGAAGAGCCTACAGGTGAGCAAAGTACACAAGAGAAAGTAGGGAAAGAAAGTAGAGCTGGTTCATAGAGACCTGACTGCTGCCATAAAGGTTTTGAGTTTGATTTGATGAGTATGTAAAGCTATAGTAAGGTCTTTTTTCATGTTAATTCCCTCAGTTTTTAATTCATTAATTATGATTTATTTCTATTTTTCCATATTATTCATTATTTAATTTTATTCATTATTCATGGTTTATTAACCAGCAAATGTTTATTAAGTGCCAACTGTGTATCAGGCCCTGTATTAGGGCTGTAGTAGTGGTTCTCAAGCAGGGGCAATTTTGTCCCCCAGAGGCATGGGCAGTGCCTGAACACTGTTTTGACCTATCGCACTGAGGGTGGAGGCTTGGGATGATGTTGAGCATCCTACAACGCACAAGGCAGGCCTAACTGCAATGATATTCTCCAGCCTGCAATGTCAATGCACTGCTCTTGGGAAGTCCTGGACTAGCGGGTGCAGTTTTGCAAGAGTAAGTCCCTGCCTTCCCTATATGACTAGGAAGGGTGACACTGTGAACTCATATTGCAGTGGATCACACAACGAAGTTGGTCCTGGCTACAATGGAAGGGCAGAAAAGATGCCATTAACTTTGCTTGGGGCTGGAAAAAATTCTGGAATAAAGTCTCATTGGTACTAACTGCTGAAAGCTGAGTCGGGCTCGTTTCGGCAGCACCTATACTAAAATTGGAATGATGCAAAGATTCTCAGGGCCCTGTGCGAGGAGGACATGCAAATTCATGAAGCGTTCCATAGTTTTGTACCTAAGTTTAGATAGAATAAGATGGGTAAGAAGCCATAGGGCTAACTGTATGTGGATGGCTTTAATGCTGCATTTTTAAAAAGAAAATAATAATATGGGGAAAAAATAGAAAAAGATGAGTCAATGCTTACCTAGATAGGAAAAGTGGGTGAAAGAAAGGGGCTCAAAATGTCGAGTACTGGGGACCAGTGGGCAGTTTGGCACAGTGGAATACAGGGTAGGCAGTGAGGTGAGTCGAGGAGCAATGGTGAGAGACGAAGACGGGCCCAGGGGGGCCACATCAAGGAGGCGCTAAGGGCCCTGCCATCTCCAGCGCAGCCCCACTGAAAAAGAAGGCCAATGTCCACACAGGTGATGAAAGGGACTCTAGAAACGGCTGTTCATGGTCTGCTTGTGTGTAGATTTTATTTCTTCCTCTGGGCTCTGGTAATCCTGTGTCCTTTGAGTTTCTAGTAAAGTTAACAGCAAAATAAAACCCTTGCTAATAATTTATTCTAGAGATGAGAGTTGTCAGATAATCATTCAGAATTTAAAATCTCATCTCAGTATTTCTTTAGATGAGGAAAATGGCAAGAAATATATAGCAGAGCTTATTAGTAACATTTTATACGCTTTTTCCCCTAAATGGTTAGAACATGCCGCCCTTCCCTGCTCTTTACATCAGCATTTCTGTAGTTAAAGCTGTCTGTTTTTCAGTTCTAAACCCTAGGAGGACTTTCCCCCATGAATTTAACATGACCGGGGAAACGCCCCAGCATACAACTTTGCTACAAACTATCTGACTGAGACTAGGCTTCTTAAAGGGACAAAAAATGAATCACTGCCTTTTTGTAGCTTAAAATGTGGTTACATTTCTCCTTCACCACCAATTTCATGATTACTTATAATGGAAATAAGCCAGCTTTATAAAATGATTGCATGCAACAAATGTCCTTGAGTTCAAAACCAGAGGCTGCTGCTGCTACGGGCCAGGAGAGAGTGAGGGGTAGAGGGGGGAGACAAGCTACCGTATCGAAGCTTCTCCGAAGCTTCACACATTCGGCTCAATGCCCATAGGTGGGGGCTGTGTGCGACACCCCTAGAGTCATCAGTGCCTTCTGAAATGGCACGCAAGCCCAAGTCCCTGCAATGTACAGCCACGACTCTCCCGAGTCTGCGGTACTCCATAAGCTCTATAACAGCAACTACCACTTACACAAATGAACCAATTATCGTGGGAAAGGAAAAAGTGTAGGAAGGTATGCCCCACACTCTAGTCTGTGGGAGCCATGAGCCTCACGCCCACTTCAGAAATTGGTTCTAGAAAGCTTCTTCCCTCTTCATATCACCGCTGTTTGAAAGTTCTTTTTCCTTTTGAGAAGAAGCCATGCTTCCCCTTTCCCCTCTGGTATTTAACTTGAGTTCACACACAGCACTGTTAGAAAAGTAACTACAGGCCCAAAGTGATGTCATTTGTGCTAAGCCCCACATTAATAAACTAACTAATGAAGACTTAACAGCAGTTGCAGCCTCCACCAGGAATGTCGCCTTCACTGAGTCAATCTGGACTGAACCTGGTCAGCACTAGTAAGGCACTCTGCCTGACAGACCCCACCCGTTCTTGAAGGAAGATGGTCTTGCCTGAAATAATCCACTCCTCTCTAGAAACTCTCTTCTTTCCTCCCCTTCTGCCTATAAAATTTTCCATTTTGTACAGCTCCTCTGAGCTCCTTCCTGTTTGCTAGATGGAATGCTGCCCAATTCATGAATCACTGAATAAAGCCAATTAAATGTTCAAAATTACTCAGTTGCATTTTGTTTTATAACAGTACATAGGGATCTTTGTTAGGGTCCCTTAGCACCAGTGTTAATAAAGGTCCAACACTAGCTACTGGGCTGTTCTAATGGCTTTACAGGAATTAACTCATTTTATCCTCACGTGGAAGAAAAGGGGCCACATAGTAACCTGACAAGCTCAGGGGAGGCCTGCATGGCATCCTTACAAACTCAGAGACCTAAAGTAACCACAAAGGATGGTCTGAAATTAAAGCTTTAACTAAAAAGAATTCATGGCCTGTAGTCATGTCCTATGGGAGTATTTTTCTCTAAGAAAAGTCAGTCTTCACCTTAACTGAGCCTGCCTGTTGTCTTTTTGCATCTGGCACAACATACCTGATAAACATATCTTTGCCATAATAAAGGAATTTACTTTTGCCCAGGCACCTCAAAGCACAGTCACTGCACCAGAGCAGAGACCTTGAATGCCCTCATTGTTATTGTTATCATATTCACTGTTGACTGTTCACTATCCTGGACCCGCTGTGTAAAAGAAGTGTGTCTATCATTTTACCTCTTTTCTAATTCCAGAGGTTTCCCTGCTTCGCTTTTCCCTGCCTCCCTAATCTGTCACCAGTGGACTTCACGTAGCCCCCTTACGCCTTCTCCTTTGACTGTAATGTGTAAAGTAGAGGGCAAAACTGCCATTTTCCAGACCATTTCTCAATCTTTTGAGATTTTGCTTCCCAGCAATTGTTGCCAGTTTGACCCAAATAAACTCACAAACGCTCTCTCCAGGTCTGAGTGTTTCTCGAGTTGATGCTGACGCTCACCAGGGCCCAGGACTAAGGTGCTCTTAGTGGCTGTGTTTATAGATGAGGACCTCAAGCACAGAAAAATGACGTGACTTCTCAAAATCTCAGAGCTAGAAAGAGGGAGAGCTAGGGGTCCAACTGTGACATTGTGATTTATAATAAGACCTATGTATTTGGTCTTTGTCCTGTTTTTGTCGCAGAGCTCCTAAAACCCTTGGAATTGTCTAAGTGATGAGAGTAGTAAAGGCATCTTTTGTTACGTTAATGAGCGACTGTGGACAGAACCCAAGGATGGGGGCTGGTGCCTGGAGAACCAACCACGTGATTAGATGGTTGAAACTTTCAGCTCCACCCCCAACCTCCAGGGAGAACAGAGGGGCTGAAGGTTGAATTAATAGTTCATCAATCATGTCTATGCAATGAAGCTCCCATGAATCCCTACAGGGAGGGGGTTCGACACATGGAGGTGATGGGAGAGTGGCACCCTGAGAGAACATGGGGCCTCCGTGCCCTACCCCTGTGTCTTGCTCTAGGCATCTCTTCCACCTGGCTGTCTTTGAGTTAGATCCTTTTATAATGTACCAGAAATCTAGTAGGTAAAACGTTCCTCAGAGTTCTGTGAGCCACTCTAGCAAATTAATTGAACCCGATGAAGGGGTTATGGGAACTTTCGGTTTATAGCCAGTCGGTCAAAGCATAGGTAACAGCCTGGGCTTGGACTGGCATCTGAAGTTGGGGGTGGGGAGAGGGACAGCCTTGTAGCAGTGACCCCTTAATCTGTGGGATCTGATGCTCTCTCTGGGTAGATGGTGTCTGAGAATTGCTTGGTGGTTGTTTGGAAAGCGCCCCCGCCATGCCCCCGCCACCCGCACCCACGTTGGAAGTGGTGCCAGAACTAATTTACAAAAGCAGGCCAGTGGAGCTCTTAAGCCCCACCAAATGCTGCTTCAAAATCACACGTTGTCTTCAGATGGTTTCATGCAGAGCATCTGAAGAGACAGAACAGCAAAAAAACTCTTTTGTTTGTTTTCTTAACAAGTGTGACTAATAACTCAAATTCTCTCTACTAGGGCCCTTGAATTGGAGGGCACAACCGTTGACTGCAATGATCCCCACTATTTATGGCTCTTACAGTTCCCTTTTGAAGCAGCCCAATTCCACCCCATGAAGCAATTTTAAAACAGTACCTTTTTTAACTACCATGTGTCTTTCAGAGAGGAAAAAACCTTAAGCAAACAATGAGAAGGTATACCGGTTCAGCCAAATGGGATTAGGATTCTGGAATTTCCATCACTGTTTGACTGACTGAAATGATGATTTCGAATACAACTGAGGGACTTAAGTCTTGGCAAGACTTTGTACTTTCAAAGTATCAGTGTTAATACCCATTTCTTTCCCAGTCCTCCTAGACTTTCCATTACCAACCCCTGGGGGGAGAAAAAGCCTGGCTGGGCTGGTTAGGCCTTCCAATGGTGGGGGAGGGGGGTGCATATGCATTGAATCCTCCTTCTGTAGCCAGTACAGTGGACACCCCAAGGTCAGCCCTGTGCCAAGTCCACACCCACCGGGAAGTAGCCCAAAATTCTACCTCCACACAGCATTTCTGAGAAATGGACACTTCACTCAAGACTTTGAGGGAAAATGGGGAGAGAGTCACATTATACACAGTATTTGGCAAAAATATCTAAAAACCCCCATGTAAGCAACTCCATTAAACACCAACAAACAGAGAAGATGGAAATGAGCCCATAAATATAGGGAAGGAAAGTGTGAAAGAAGAGAAAGGACAAGGGAATGGAAATTGTTTTTCTTTTCTTCTTTAAATTCAAGGGAACCAAATATCTTTGTTAGCTGAGTTAGCAAAGGGGAGTCAGCTGGGGAATGATAGAGAAATAAACTTGTGAAATTGAAGTATTTGCTTCTTTTCTTCTCATTAGGGCTCTGTAATACTTATGAATCATGAGTGTAAACTGCAATACCAGGAGAGTGAAGGTGGTGGAATTCATTTCTTCCCAAAACTTGTCTGATCACCCTTATGCACTTTGTCAAGAGAAGACACAAGCCACACCTCTTTATACAGGCACACTTCATTTTGTTGTGCTTCACTTCAATGCACTTCACAGATGTTGCCTTTTTTAAAAAAACAAATTGAGGACAAGGCACTCCATTAAGAAAAAGATTACGACTTGCTTTATTGTGATCCTCACTTTATTGCAGTGATCAGGAACCAAACTCACAGTCTCTCCGAGGTATGCCTGTAGAAAACCTTCACTGAGGTTTGGTGCAAGAAATCATTAAGCATTATTGATAAATCTTAAGCTTTCCAGGTCCCGAGTTGCTCCTCTACAGCTATAAAAGGATGAAGCTGTGAACCTCTCAGAGCCTCAATTTACTGCCTTTGAACTTCAATGTCAGTGGCTTGGAAAA